TACGACCACCGATTTAATTGGGATGTCCCTGAGGTCGTCGCCATGGCTAACACAAAGCGAACGAGGGAATTTCTCGATGCTTGGTACTCCGATGCGTGTATTATCAACCGCCACGTTGACTTGGATGCCCATTACGAGGGTCTACGTTCACGAATGACTGCCCCCTGCCCTAATCACGCATCAACGACCGCGAATACAGGCGCCCGCTTTCCAACTGATTCACCACCCACCCTCCCCCTCCAGCACGGTTTGCCGTAATTGTTCCGCTACCGCTCCCTTCCCCGCACCTCACTCAGTGAACTACCATGACCTCGGGAGCCCACCCCCCCTCGCACGTCAGTAATCTGTTCTGTCCTATCACACCAACTGGTCTTTTGTGACAACCTAAATTTCTCCCTCGTTTTCATTTCGTCTAACGACGGGTTGGTTTCACCAGCTCGAAAATTCACGAGTGCAACTCGACTTTTCCGAAGAACCTCTTCTACTATTCATATATATTTATATATTTCATCGTAGGGGTCACTCACCTATCTTTCATACGCAACTCACTCGTTCCATTGTGCCTTATGGACTCTATGTCGAGCCCAACCAGCAGCTGCACAACGGCGCATGATATATAGGCAAAATGACATTACCGACAAATCAAGTTAGACTGAAATGGCCCGAAATTGCCATTCCAGTCTCCTGCGTAGAATACGCGAGGCAGTCAAATTGTGAAACATCCCACAACAACCTTATATTCCTTCGTCAATGCTGCTTATATACCATGATGGTGTGAATATGTTCCGTACGAATCGGCTGTGGGCCCTTCTACTTTCACCGGGAAAGTTGTGCATGTGGCCATCATCCGACCGCTGAAAATGTTCGGATTTTCATAGGTGAACGTACACAAGTAGTGCACGTTTTGTCTCAAACAAATTTTCGGCCATATTCCAATTAAGGATCAACAATGGTAATCTTGTGGTCTCGCCCATTCATATGCAGCCTACGTCCCTATATGCGTGCAGTGGCTGACTTTCCAGTTTGACCTCAGTAAACCACGTTTCAGTTGTCACAGAAAATCTTGGGGTGAAAATCTACCTTCTCAGTATAGCGTGCCCTATTCTCAGGATGTAAAATGTGGTTGCGTAACGTGGTTGATAGTTGGGGCGCGGTCAACGAGTTAAAGCATGGAAGTGCTCCACACGTTATCGTTTCGTGTTTTTAGTTGGAAAAGGTTACTTTATTTAATTCTATTAATTAATGTTTTCACATTCACAGGCGCGCATAATATCTGGTGTGTCCTTTTTTCGGAAAAGAGTCTGAACAAGTCATATATTTTTACTTGGAAACCACCGCTATCTGAGTGGTGTTTTACTCGTTTGGGAAGGCTGTCATGAGTAACCCACAAATTAGCAGTAGGGTGAATGCTCGTATAAGGTATGAACACATCCGCATACGTTTGCTTGCAGTAAGTTTATGCATGAAGTGCCTGGTTAGTCTTTTGCTGTTGGAAGATATCATGTAAACGTGTTTGCTGTCTGTCCATTCCTGGTAGTAAGGTTGTGGAACATTTCCGTCAAATGGTGTGTAAGTGTGTGCTTTGCCAGTATCAGCAAACCATGGCCATGGCAGTCCATGAAGCACTGACAGTTTCCTGACAACTGGATTTCCTGCCCGTAGATGAGCTGCAGTTGCCTCTAGGTACAAGTGTGATCAGTCTATCTGGCCAGTCATCCTTCCTGTTCTGACCCCTCTGTTGCGTTATTGTTGTCGTTTTGGCTGTTGTTGTTGTTGTTGTTGCTGTTGATCGAAACCTGGTCATTTGATGTGTGGACAAGGACGTGTGGAGTGGAAGGCCAACGTGCGAACTCGTCCGTGCCATCATCCATCTGCGCCCTCCTGCAATTGTTTCGCCGTTATTTTGCCGTTGCGTTTCGGTTGTTCAGTGGCCCCCTCGGCATTGTCTATGCGGTTTCTGGTATATGATTTCCAATGAATAGTCACGTGGATAATCAAGTACAATGGGCATAACGTAGGTATTTTACAGTAGTTTACTGTCTCCGACTCGAATGTTCATTGAAACTTCGTTTCTTAACCAAAGCAATAATGTTCCGGGGAGTTGACTTTAAGTACTGCACTGAGTAAATTCTGAAATTATTCACTTCATAGTCATCGTGGTCCCCGCTCTGATATTGTACTACTTTTGCTCCAACGCTCCCTTCCCTATTCTAAATATCACTAACTTAACAATTATTGAAAACTCGTCCTTGTATTTACAACGACCACTATATATACACACAGGCAGTGTAATCAATACCAGCATCTCGTCCAAGCCACAACAACGACCGTACAATTCTGAATTAAGTGAAATAAGTGACAATGTGATGAATCAAACATCGCTACCGACTTTAACTTCGGAGAGCGAGATTGCGGTCATTAATGTGTCCTACAGGAACCGAAAGGAACATTTGTTCCTTTGTCTAACTGGTATGTTGCCATTCCTTGGCAAACAGCGGAAGCAATTCATCATAATTGACGTGGACGAAAAACATTTAACCGTCATCGACTGTCCTCGGCCCTGTTTTCGCAGATTGAAGTAGGCATTGGCAGTCTAAGTCATGCAATTTTCCCACACATTTGGATAAAATATGCATACTCAAAGTTAATAGTGGCACCCGATGGAGGTCAGAGATATTATCAGTTTAAGCAGTGTTACGTTGGATTAATGGTTTTTTAAAGTAGCTTTATTTCTGGGCTGAGTAAAAATCGGGAGATGACACCCAAAAAAATCCGTTACCTAGAAATAATATCGTTAACAGTGAACTCAAACGCCTTCAGGCTATATCAACGGATGCAGGCCTACATTCACGCACTACTTGAACTTTCCCCGACGACCTAACATGGGCTGGCCGAACGAACATCGCAGGAGGTTACATGGACGCTGGTCGCTGTTACCCAACCTTTCCCATCGTTACACACGTACACCTGAATATACGGCAAACCTTCGAATTATAGCAGTTTGTTACAAAACAAAATTACTTTAAAATATGATATGTATGCACAACATGGGACCGGAACAGTTTCCAGGGATCTGTTAAACACATGGCAGTGTGGCCAAACCCAAGACGATACTGTAGTTCGTCTATGTAAGCCCACACGGCTCGACCACATGCAGTGCCTTCCTCGTGTAGTTTCCTTTTTCAGTCTACTCCAGTATGCCTCAATGGCATTGGTGTGTCGTCCCGTGGTGGGGTCGTTGAAGTTCTCTGAGTGGTTAAAAAAGAAATGTGGATAACTTTCTGAGGGCAGGATTGATTGATGAGCGCCCCCTTTCATTGTATACTTCCAAACAAAACCGACAGGGCAACAGGCTCGTGGCCCATCAGTGAGAGGCGTGGACTTCTAACAAACAGGTCACGAGTTTGAGCCGCGGGCGTTCCACACTTCGGGGTTGGGTATGAGTGTCTGACGACGGCCAATAATCCAGAAATGACCATTTCAGTCTCCCTTGTCTTTCTCGGTATAAAATGCTGCATATATATTAATGTATAAAAATATATATGTAAGTGCAATGCCCCTGATCTCATTCCGCATCAGTGGCCAGCCGCCCGCATTCTCTGCTGTGCGATCCTCGCGCGTTTTCTCCAACTCCGAAACAGGAAGCCCTAACGGTTTTTCTTTCCCTCCCCCTGTCCCACAGCCTACCTTAACTCTTTGCCCCCTCCTCGTAAGCATCAGCTGTCAGTTTGTCGTTGTCTGTCCTCTCGCGCCAGTCGACCAAGTCTGCCGAACTCACTTTTTCCTCTGTTCATTTCGTCTGACGACGGGTCGGTGTCACCGACTCGAAAATGTTCGAGTACAACTCGATTTTCCGAAGAGCCTTCTCTTTTTCATATATATATATATATATATATATATATATATATATCTCGCGTTCATCATCTCCCGAAGAAGACGAAGAATAAGAAGAGAGGGCGAATCCATGGACCATATTGTATTCGAACTGACGTTTCGGAAACTTCCTCGTTTCCATCATCAGAGTAGCGTAATTGTTGCACTTGCGGGTCTTGAGTTATTCAGTCTTGCCGCTTGCCTCGTATTATAGCCGTGCTGGACGCACGAACTTTGACCTGCCTGTTTGCCGCTGACTGGCTTAGACCTCCCCGGAGCTGACCGCTGATAGGCCTGCGTGACCTTTGTTCCCTTTGGGGTCGGCTTAGTTGTGGTCAAATCAACGTGCCGCTTGGCCCCTCCCACGTCAGCCGGTGGACTGATCGGTCGTTGCTGTTCAGGTGAACAGCATTCAGCTTCGCGGGCGCATCGGTGGGACAGAAGTGTGAGGCAGACGAGGAGTGCAAAAACTCCATGCGACAACAAGTGTCGACCTTACTCCTCCAACACAAACGCCAGATGACGATTTCTAAAGCAGAAGATCCAGAACTTCTGAAGATACGAAAAATGAAGGATATCGTCACCCTGCACGCCGACAAGGGGCGCTCGACTGTCGTCATGGATAAGGCTGAGTACTGTACAAAACTAGGCAACCTCTTGATGGACAAGGAATCTTATGCGCCATCGACCGTCAGCGAGTTTAAGTAGCTCGTAAACAGCATAAACAATACGATCGGCAAGCTGAGGAAGGCGGGAGCTCTTACGAGAAGGGAAGCGTTGGCCGCAAAAGCCAGTGATACCGCGATGGCGCGCTTCTACGGCCTACCAAAGGTCCACAAGCAGGGGGTGCCGCTACGCCCCATCGTCTCCTTACGTGGTACTCCAACCTTTGGGCTGTCAAAGTGGCTGTACCAGCGACTTTGTTTCCTTACCAAGGATTCGGAGGGGACAGTGAAGTCGGCTGAAGAGTTCTTGACGCGCATCAAACATCTCGAGGTGGAGGCAGATGAGGTGATGGTGTCATTCGACGTGATCTCATTATTCACCTCCATCCCACCCGCGCTGGCTATCGACACTATTGATGGCTTTCTCCGGGAAAAGTATGATGAGACCGACCAACAGCTCAAACGAGCACACATCATCGAGCTCCTAGAACTGTGTCTTAAGACCTTCTTTACATTCAACGGCCAAGTCTACGAGCAAAAGAAGGGGACACCGATGGGCTCGCCTCTGTCTGGACTAATTGCCGAAGCAGTTTTGCAGAGACTCGAGCAGCAGGTCTTCAGCTCGTACCCCCCGAAGTTCTGGGCCAGATAAGTCGACGACACGTTCGTTGTAAACACGAGGAGCGAGGTGAAGGCTTTCAAGGCATTGTTGAACTCCATCTTTCCCGATATTCAGTTTACTATGGAAGAGGAAGTCAACAATCAGTTGCCCTTCCTGGACGTATATCTATATATCGCGTTCATCATCTCCCGTAGAAGACGAAGAAGAAGAGTGGGCGAATCCATGGACCATATTGTATTCGAACTGACGTTTCGGAAACTTCCTCGTTCCCATCCTCAGAGTACCGTAATTGTTGCACTTGCGGGTCTTAAATTATTCAGTCTTGCCGCTTGCCTCGTATTATAGCCGTGTTGGGCGCACGAACTTTGACCTGCCTGTTTGCCGCTGACTGACTCAGACCTCCCCGGAGCTGACCGCTAATGGCCTGCGTGACCTTTGTTCCCTTTGGGGTCGGCTTAGTTGTGGTCAAATCAACGTGCCGCTTGGCCCCTCCCACGTCAGCCGGTGGACTGATCGGTCGTTGCTGTTCAGGTGAGCAGCATTCAGCTTCGCGGGCGCATTGGTGAGACAGTGTTCGGCTTTGGTCACATGACCTCTGGCCCCCAATTCCGCTCTTTTCCGTGAGTGTTGTCTCTCGGTCCCGCGTGCTCGCTTGCCTTACTGGTCCGGTCCGGACTGATCCGAGCCTTGTACGCAGTGCTTGGTAGGCGGGATGTAGATCTATAGCTCGGCTGAGTGTACCAGTCGAGGACCAACTTTCGGGCACCAGTCTGGCCATCTTCTCATTGGCTCGACCAATTACCCTCGCTTTCTCAAAGGCAAAATCGTGGTTCAGTTCTCGTATGTGGTCATAGACCAAAGACAGCTTGTCCTTGCGGTTGATTGCAAGTTGGTGTTCGTCCAATTTTGTGCCGAGGCGTTTTCCCGTTTCAACAACATACCTGGCATTGCAATTTAGGCATGGTATGCTGTAAACCACCGCCGACTGTTCTGTTGTTGGTAGCGGGTCCTTGGGCTTCATGATTTGCTGTCTGATGGTGCATTCTGGTTTATGAGCCACGCCAATCACAAAAGGTTTTAGGATTCCTGCCGTTGCCTCTGATACGTTCTTCACATAGGTATTGAGAGCCAGAACTTGGGCTTTTCTCCACTCGACCGCTGAAGATTAGGCATTTTGAGGCAATTGCGTATAAAGGACTTCGGGTAGCCGTTGACTTTAAAAAGGCCCTGTGAGTAATTCAGCTCCGCCTTCCTCCCACTGTTGTCGCTACAGTGTGTTTGAACACGTTGAAAGAGAGTTCTGACGCAACTGTGTTTATGACCAACAGGGTGGTTTCCTCGGAAGTGGAGGATGCGCCTAGTATTTGTTGCCTTACGGTAAACCGTTGTCCTTATCTTCCCGTCTGTCAATCTCGTAACTTGTACGTCCAGGAAGGGCAACTGATTGTTTACTTACTCTTCCATAGTAAACTGAATATCGGGAAAGATGGAGTTCAACAATGCCTTGAAAGCCTTCACCTCGCTCCTCTTGATTACAACGAACGTGTCGTCCACGTATCTGGCCCAGAACTTCGGGGGGTACGAGCTGAAGACCTGCTGCTCGAGTCTCTGCAAAACTGCTTCGGCAATGAGTCCAGACATAGGCGAGCCCATCGGTGTCCCCTTCTTTTGTTCGTAGATTTAGCCGTTGAATGTAAAGAAGGTCTTAAGACACAGTTCTAGGAGCTCGATGATGTGTGCTCGTTTGAGCTGTTGGTCGGTCCCATCATACGTTTCCCGGAGAAATCCATCAATAGTGTCGATAGAGCATCAAACATCTCGAGGTGGAGGCAGATGAGGTGATGCTGTCATTCGACGTGATCTCATTATTCACCTCCATCCCACCCGCGCTGGCTATCGACACTATTGATGGATTTCTCCGGGAAAAGTATGATGAGACCGACAAACAGCTCAAACGAGCACACATCATCCAGCTCCTAGAAGGGAGTTGTTGACTGCAAGCGCCGGTGATGCCGCAATGGTGGGCTTCTACGGCCTACCGAAGGTCCATTGTCCGAGGGTGGCGCCAACCTTTGGGCTATCGAATTAGCTGTACCATTGACGATGCTTCATTACAGAGGATTTGGAGTGAACAATGAAGTCGGCTGAAGAGTTTTCGTCGCGAATCAAACGTCTCAAAGTAGAGGCATATTAGGTAATGGTGTCTTTTGACATGATCTCATTATTCACGCCCATCACAACGATACTGACTATCGACACTATTAACGGTCTTATAAAAATACAGCCTCTGTCGCTCACGTGAAACGACAACCATACCACATTCCTGGATTTCTTTGTCAGCTCCTTTTCTGGCAAGACTCTCTCCTGGCAAGATAGACGTTTTTCATTATATTTCGTCTGAGTGCTGCAGAAAATGACTGCCATTAAATTGATCTTAATTAACATGTACTGGCTGAACCCATGCACCACAATTTCAATCATAGAAATATCTAGGGCACAAAAAAGTGAATGCCACAGGGAATGTACTTTTGCAGGAGGTTGCCACCAGAATCTGTCAGTTGCGTTGACCAAGGCACAGTTCGTGAGGATGAGATTGATAATATAAGCAACCCGTTTTTCCGGGTCTAAATGAGAGTGAAATGCCCCCACAGGCGGACGACACCAGAACCTCAAAGTCGCGATGAAGAGGCCTCAATTCGTACAGATGGAAATAGGAGGTCTTAGATTGGAACTCAGCCGATGTCCCTATCCGGTCCATGTACCAATTTCGAGCAGGCAGTCTTTGACAATGACGCCACTGCCTGATACGACGTTGACTGTTTAAACAAATAACCTTCCTACAAAAAGGCTAATCAGATCATAATATGTATTCTAGAAGTAATCCGATACCGTTAACATTAATGGCTATCAAAACTGTGAGTCCTTACTGCCAGATAATTGTGGTAGTGACTTTGCCTTAAATGACTCTTCTTACAGCTATTTGACAAAGGATTTGCCAATTGAAATGAATAGTCTAGGCCTCTAAAACCTCGAAAACTAGGTGCGCATAATGTGAGCTGTCTGTTTTATTTTGCTACAAGTTCTAGGCGTCTTTCACGCAAACCAGCAAGCAAAAACGCCTGTCAGTCAAGGTTGAAACCAACTGTCCAATAAAGTAAGGGCTTTTGTCTGGGTAAACACCTCTGATGGACTAGGGGGCAGTTCAGCAGTCGTGAGGTAGACCGAGTTCACTCTTCGAAGTATTGTCCATTTATTAGCTCAGATTAAACTTTCAGCGGACCACCATGTTCTATCTTTTCAAAATTTCACGCAACCAGAAAAACTCTTTCGCATTTGCATTACTCAGGTCTTCTTTTCATCTAGTCTTTTTCCCAAACGGGATGGCAAACTATGCCAGGAGCAAAAGCAGTATATCACCATCTACATTTGCTCCGCCATCCGTACACCCTGAAAGTTGTTTCTTCCGGACTAGGCCGCTAGTGTCGAAAGGCTGTGGGACCTCGTGTTAAGTCCCTTTCCATGGGAACAAGTTGTAGTTTTTGATGAGGGAGGCTGTAGAGATGATGTATAAAATATAGAAACCATGATGTACCTCGCTGTTTCAATTCGCAAAGCAAAGGATTTTAAACAATAAAGAGGACGTGACTAACTGTTTGTTTTTGGTTATAGACCATCGTTTGCCTAATTAATTTACTCAGGATTTGCACAATCATGCCATATGCGGAATTACATCACAAGGTTTACGAGAATCGCCATCTCAGTATCCAGTCTTTGCACTATTTTGCAACGAGAGATTTTCTATAAAGAACCTAAAACATGACAAACCGTCATCAATCTAAATGCATATTCATGAGAATTTCAAAAAAAAACTGGTCAGTAAGCAGTTATAATCGCTGTGTGGTGTTTCATTGTCTATATTAAAATAAAGCCGCGCTTGTCTACAGGAAATGCGAAGAAATTAACACCTGAACTGGCCTTGCAAACGGAAAAATGTGAGTTATACATTTATAAACTTATGAATCGTATTTAAGAAATTAGCTCATTTGTGACTAAGCTGTCTCCCTGTCTCAGATGCTTCTAGGCATATCAAAGATACCACGATATCACTGATGTGCATTTTCAGATAGCTTTTCTAGGCAATCGCTTTTCCCCAAAGTGTCCCTAATTAAAGCCAGTGATTATCACATATCCACATCTCCCGTAACATGCGAAAACAATTTTGCAAAAAATATAACTCCATTCATGGCGTGCTGTGACTCGTACATGATATTTAAACGTTGAATGTAAAAAACCGATAGCCATGACTCTAGTAGCTCGCGGCTCACGTGGTTATAACCTGTAGCGAGACATTCGGCAACTTGAGGCTTATTCGACGACATCCGGTCACATATTCAAAATCGACAAGGCCGACATTCTTGCTAGAGGTGACAATTGCTGGAGCCACTAAGGGCTTGGGTCATGGTTCACTGGCCTCCAGTCCATTAATATATGCATCGAACTTGCCTTCCATTCTCGGTGCTGAGTCTTCGCCTAGGCGGAGCAATTAGTGACGCGGCAAGCGCCCAGGCAAACAGTGTTCCCAACTTGCCTTGTTTAATTTCTAAGTAAACAAATGCGCGAAATTGAAGTAAATCCTTTTAGACACGGTCCAAAGTGTCAAACGAATATTTGTGCTGAACTACATCAGCTACTGCGGAATAACCGCTTATTATTAACAAACCGCTAACGGGCAGCCAGTAGTAGAGAACTGTGCAATTATTTACCATACTAACAACAGAGGTATTAGCTGAAGGCCCAGACACGCGTGTTTTACCGATCTTATGCCGCTGCCAGAGGCGAGGGCCTCGCCTCTTCAGTGGGTACCCAAGCGTTCCCGTGTGTTTTCTGGTATACGAACTCCAGTTTCAACTTGCCTTGTTTAATTCCTGAGGAAATTAATGCGCGAACTTGTTCCCAACGCCATGGTCGGCGGGTCAGATGGTCGAGCAATCATCACACCAATATTCAGCACACGTGATCAAATTTCAACA